ATAGGGGTGGGGTGGGGTAGTACAGAGCTGAGCAAAGCCCAGTCTCTGCCCTGTCCTATTTCAACACCCCGCAGGGAGGCAGCCCAGACCCTGAAGGGTCCCGCAGAAGGGAGGCAGGTGGAGGCATGTGGGGCTGTGGCAGATACGCAGGCGAAGGGCTGATCTGGCTTGTGTGTGTGTCAGGCCCTGGCCTCTGTGAAGCGCACAAGAGTGGCGTCCTCTCTGGGAGCGCCAGCCCAAGCTACATGCCGGCCTGCAGGGCAGAGGACGGAGGCTTTTCCCCAGTGCAATGCGACCCAGCTCAGGGCAGCTGCTGGTGTGTCCTGGCCAGCGGAGAAGAGGTGCCAGGGACCCGCGTGGCCGGGAGCCAGCCGGCCTGTGAGAGTAAGTTGTGCCACCCTGTGGGGGCTCCTGGGGCTGGCGGGGGCGGGCTGCTCACCTCTTCCTTCACCCAGGCCGGGGGCGCCCCAGAGACACCCAGACAGTGGGGGCGGGAGGAGAGAAAGAGGAAGCCCACGAGGCATGTGGTTGCAGTTGGCTCCCCTGAGGTCGAAACTCGTGTGTGCTTCCTGAAAAATGCTCGGCCCTGGAGCTGAGACCAAGGGCAACCTGTGCAGGCATCTCCAGAGCTGGCAGCTCAGGAAGCTTGGGTGCTGGCCGGCTGAGGGGTTCTGGGTCTTGGTCTCCCCATCCCCGAGTGGGGAGGACGGCCTGAGAGCAGGATCTTCAGTGGGGACCCCTGAGGGAGCTTCAGGCATTGGCAGAGATGGTCACCTGTTTATTTTTATTTCTAGTTTAAAAAAAGTTGTTTGGGTATTAAGTATTGAAATATTTATCATACAAATAAATGAGAATATTGAAATACACTGTTAGATATTAACATATATTATTTAATTATCAATTCCTTACCTTTTATTTCTCCTATCCATTCACGTCCCAGGGCATTATAATCATTTTAAAATTCCTGTGACCTAGTAGATTAGACTCTGTAAATTTCATTTCAGGACAGTAAATGAAGACATTGCAAAATCGTTATCACAAATTGGGGTGTTGTGCCTGACAGGGTTGAGAAATATAGCGCTACATGATCTTGGTTTTGTCGCAATTGACTTTCTTTTGCTGGCTTTATTGCTTTGTTTTTAAAATGTTGCAGTTTCTAAGCAACAGCTTGGAGCTGCGGAGACATTTAATTAAGTCTAGTGAGTTATATGTGCACAGTGAATCTTTGTATTTGTGAGTTTATATTTGTGTTTGTAAAGAGAAAAGGGGAGCCTTCAAAGGAAGGGTGGGAAGGCAGAGCTGCCCGCTCTCGTTGAGGGGGTGCGTTCCCCTTTAGCCTGTGCCCGCTCCTGCCCCAACCTGTGTTGTGCCCACGGCTGCTGACAGACACCTTTGCTCCCAAGCCCTGGTTGGCCCCCACTGGACAGGACGTTCGTCAAGGCAGGGCCCCGTCATACCCATGTCTGTGGCCCTCAGCAGCTGCCACCATTCAGGGAACATAGTAGGTGCTCAGTGGGTATTTATGAGTGGAACTCCCTACTCTGTGCTTCTGGGAGAAGTGGTACCAGCCTTAGGATCAGAAATAATCAGCATTCAACTTCCAGGGCATCTAAGTATGGTCCACACTGGGACCCCAAATATAGACTGCAGGGTCCCCTCCAGGAGTGAGGCGGGGAGCACAGCTCTTTTAGGAACACCCTGTATGGCTTGGCCCTGCAGGTTCTATGATAATAGCTCATGTGTGCAGAGATTTATCTGTTAGAAGGTGCTCTTCACATCCCTTACCCCATGCAGGCAAGTAGAGCAGTCCCTATCTCCCCATTTTACAAATGGCACAGCTGAGGCTCAGATGCTCCTTAACATGTCCCAAGTCACACAGCCAGCACTAACCTGAGCCCCCAAATCTCCTTCCTCCTGACTTTCTGCAGAGTGTGGTGGAGAAAGCTCAATGTGGGGGCGAGACAGACTCCAATGTCAACTCTGCCACGCCCTTGCTGGGTGACCTCGGGCTAGTCCCTTAACCTCTCTGGACCTCAGTTTCCCAATCTGTGAAATAGACGTGCAGAATCATAGCTATTTCTTAGAGCCATTGTTAGGATTAATACAAATAGCCTCTGTAAACTCCTTTGCCTGGTGGCACCGGGAATGGCCTCTGGGGTCACGCCTAGCTCTCCACTTGGTGCTGTAGGTCTCAGGGCAGAAGACTTAACCACCCCCATGCTCCAGTGTCCTCACTGGTGGGGTAAGGGTTCCCCTCCAGTGACAACTACATGGACACCCGCATCCTAAAATTTCCAACGCAGACAATCATATGTGTTCCCTTTCTGGTTGTTAATAATGATGGTGACTAACATTCACTGGGCATTTATTATGTCTCAGTACCTCTTCTCTACGTGCCTTAGTTTATTATGATTCACTCCATCCTTACGGCATAGGCTTCATTGCTACCCTCACCATTTTATGGGGGAGGAAACGGAGTCACAGAGATGTGAATTCACTTGCTCTAGGGTGCTCAGCTGGTAAAGGATGGAGCCAGGAGTCCAAGGCCGGCAGGCTGGCCCCAGAGCCCGCAGGCTGACTACACAACCCTCCTCCACGTACACACGACACTCGGCACAGGCCAACTCGGCGAGCCCGCTGCCAACCACAGTGCAGAGTCTTGGCAGGAGGCCTCGAGCTTATTAGGAAGAAGCCAAGGCTGCCCCTGGAGAGCAGGAGTCATTCTCCATCCCTGAGGCCCCCAAGTACCCTTGAATCACATGGGGATTGCAGATGTTAAAGCCAGACATAAAACAGGCAGCAAGGCGGGGCCTGAGAGTCAGATAACTAACGAAACCTCTAGTCAGGTGTCAAATGGTCACACAGAGAGTGTCTGATCTGTAATTTACTCATTCACCCCCATGTGTCACCCACATTCATGGAGCTTGTGTTCTGGGTCAGCAGTGTGCTGTGACCTGGGGGAGCAGGGACAAGGCGCCCTCCCTGTGACCTAACCCTGTGGGGAGATCAGAGTGCAGGTGACTAGACTCTCGAGTAATTGCTAACCTGGAGGGCTGCCCCAGGTGCAGAGCTTGGAGAAAGGATACCTAAGAGCCCTCGGGGAACCAAGGAAGCTGTTAAAAAGTTACAGGTGTTGAGCTGATAATTGAGGGTCAAAAGAAGTACGTTCTAGGCAGAGGGAAGGACATAGGGTGTGTGACCAGGGTATATTCAGGGAATGACAGCCATGCCCGGAGGCAAAGGGGGATTGGAGGAGACGAGAGCGGGACCGGGAGGTCAGGTCAGCAGGCTCG